CGAGCAATTTGACCAAACTTCTAACAAAATCCCTTAGGCTAAATGGTGAGTTCCAAGCGTCCTTTGAACTGCCGCAATTTTGGATCTAGGGAGTTCACCCAGGGCACGTTTTCGATTTCGGACGAAACATCTGTGCGGTACTGCACACAGTGAACTTTACTTGCAGCAGAGGCTCCTTGTTCAAAGTTTCAGCCTTCCGCAATTGTATTCAATATTGATTTCTACTTTTGGCAATGAGGAAGTTCTTCCCTTACACTTTTCTTTCTAATTCTCATGTACTCTTGAGTGATCATCGAGTTTTTGGGTGTATACCCTGTTCGAAACTGACGTCTCCAAAAGAGTGAGGTGATAAATCAACGGACATAGCTGATGACGCATGCGAGTATTATATGGTTTTCTCATAAATCAGCTTCGCGTCTATTGAAAAGTGACAGTTATTACGAAGTTTGTGGAACCGCATGATCAGCTCGCCACTTTGAGGGCGCCTGATTGGCAGTGGTGATTGACAGTCTGAATCGGACCGATGTTATTTACCGACTGTGACATCCGGCTTATCGGCAGACCAGTAGGCGATGCGCCGAACCACCTCCTTCTTGTGCAAACCGGGTAGCCCGGACGTCAGCGAATCCACACAGGGTTAGCCATTTAGTTTGGTTTCAGAGTGCTATAAATCAGCTCGCGTCTATTGAAAAGTGACAGTTATTACGAAGTTTGTGGAACCGCATGATCAGCTCGCCACTTTGAGGGCGCCTGATTGGCAGTGGTGATTGACAGTCTGAATCGGACCGATGTTATTTACCGACTGTGACATCCGGCTTATCGGCAGACCAGTAGGCGATGCGCCGAACCACCTCCTTCTTGTGCAAACCGGGTAGCCCGGACGTCAGCGAATCCACACAGGGTTAGCCATTTAGTTTGGTTTCAGAGTGCTTGTTACTTTCGACAGTGTACATTACGAATCATCCGGTGCCTCCTCACCAGTTCCGGCCAGTACATAGAAGAGACTCGTTGGGCCCATTTGTGAGGATCTGGAAAGTGATGCAGGTCGAAAGCTGGCCTGGTGACTCACCGTCGAGTTCAAGTCTATGAATGTATTGGCAATAACGTGGTCACCCAACTGGCCTGCGCTGACTGATCCCGCCTTTTTGCAACGGAAAATGGCCTGAGGCAAAACCGCCGACACACACTCACCCAGCATAATGCAAACAAGGTTGGCCGAGTGAAAAATTCAGGTGCCCGCTGACCCCAACAAGAAACAATCACTCTTGCGCCTGGCTAACAACCTAAATCACAAACACTTCCCAATTGATTGAAAAATCTACATGCGTGTTTCGACACGTAAATTGCACTGTCCGTGGAGCAATATTTTCCTGGTCGATCGGCTACCAGCATCAAAATCAGGTTACATGTGCTCAACTTGCAAGCACAACTAGAGGAAGCAACACCTAGAAGCCGTGACCAAACCATTCTTCAAACATCTGCCTATTTATTAGAACCTCGAGACCATAGCATCTGGTTCAAATACACTGTGGACTGCGTCGTATCAATCTTGGAATCTCATTCTGACAAGTTACTCGCTAGTGCTAAAATTTCGGCATTTGTCCGAGGGTTGCCTTCTGGCATTATGACACCAAAGTGAGTCCTGTCACTTCTGGACCTCCACACATCTGAGACATTTCCACACATGTGGAATTCTATCTCTCAGCTCCGTCGTCAGCTAGCCTATCGTGTACCGGCCTATCGAAAGCAGATCTGCCGAGACAACTACGCCATCATCGACCCTATACCACCAAAGACGGAAAGATGCAGAATCTGCTGTGATCGACGGATCGTGGAGGGACCTATACAAAGGCAAATGCGGCCTACCTCTGGACCCCGAACAGTATTGGAAATAGGTGTTCTCTGCTCCATAACACATTCGAAGCCGGCCAAATCACGTGGTGCTACCATCCTATAGGAGTCTGTTCGAGCCAATTACAGATTAGGACGTCGATTATGCGACCCGTTTAATGGTAGACTCATCCTCAGCTCCGGAGAAGTTCATGCCCAGGATGCTTCGGCGCTTCAATGTCAACACCCACGTTGGGTATTTCGATTCGATTTTCTCTTATTCTCTGAGTTTACCACTGCATGTATTTTGTCAGCACTACCCTAGTTCTGAGGGTCACAAATCCGAATTCACTGGACCAATTGACGTCGATCTCTGTGACATCATTCTCGTTCGATGCTTTCATGAAGTGCTTGCTGATTTCTGGAGCTGCAGACTGCAACTTTCCTCATTCTGACTTGCAGTTTTACATCGAAACGGTTGCTTAGAAGCTACATCGCTGTTATATGTCTTGCGTCATCACTCTTCAGTAGCTCAGAACACTGTCCTATGAAAACGCTGCAGCAGTTTTTCAAGGCTCACTGCCAGAAAGGTGTTGGACACCCATCCACATTCATCGCTCGGACTTAATTTTTTATGTTTGTAACCATGCTCTTCAAAAACAAACGATAATAGTAATGTGACGGTGGATACCACTGATGAAGCATGCGAATAGTATGTGGTTTTCCCATAAATCAGCTTCGCATCTTTCGAAAACTGAGAGTTATTACGGAATTTGTAAAACCGCTTTGTAGCATTCGTTTACGTCTGAGTGATGGTTAATGAGTATCCAATAAAGTTCAGGAAGGCGCGTTCAAGAAAAACACGGATACACATTTTTTATGAACAAGATGCATATGAGAGTTTTGCTCCCCTGTTCCATAGTCTTTGTCTGTTTAGTTGGTGTTTTCGAATAGATGATTCCTCAGTGAAAGACTTCTTCCTTTCAGTAGTAGCATACATTGAGGCCCGAAATGAGTGACCGTTACATCACATGCGGTTGAAAAACATTGACCTGTACGATTTATTGGAGTGCGCACAATAATCGTAATTTTAGTGCAGATAAGACATTACTAGTGTGATCAATCCACAAATGCAAATAAGAAAGTTCCATGAGATCAATAAATCAAAGTATTCCCTGAACTTCAATGAATAATTCAACGTGATTTATAGAGTACCACCCAATTGTTCTAATGTCATCCGTGGAAACCAACTCGTAACGCACGAAGTGTTATCAGAAACATGGTATGAAAGAATTGACGTTGTCTTGGCCAACCACCTCAGTCTTCTCCAACGAATTTCAGATGACTGAACGTACATTTTACCACATGCAGACGGTATTTTGGCACTTCTCTGTATGCTACTTTGCATTTATAAGTGTCTTGCCGATAGGGATTATATCGAGAAATACTGTTCGCAAAAAACCTGTCTTGTTTTAGCAGTTAAACTATCTGGTATCGTCCCCAATCCACTAAGCTGTTTTGACCAAGTCAGCATTCCATAGGTTTCACTAACATCATAATAATCTCTGTTCGAAATATCTTCAAACTGACAAACCCTGCCCATAATACGGGGCGCGTGCGCCTCAGTAACTGGTGCTAAATGCCCGCATTGGATGTGGTGGATGAACTGACCAGTCATCCCGTCCTCTGGTATGCACTTTTCACTCACAAAGCGCACGGTCATGCTACCAGACACGCGCCATTTGCAATCTAGGGAGAGGCATTCGAAGTTGTGGGGCGTTTCACGCATCCGATTGTAGTGTGGTAGATGAGGTCAATGTATCCATTTCGAAGACTCGAGTGGTTTTTGTTAACTTAAGACACTTATGGCGTCAAGATGGCATATCCCTGAATCTCGAGGGACATGTTTATCAGGCTACAGTAGAAGCGTAGCCTGTCCGATCACTAAAGTGAGAAGTCTTCAGGTTGTTTCAAACCCAGAGTCGGTGTCGGTATATTCGTAACGAGGCAATTAGAAAGCGAGTGTTCGGTTGTGAAACAGGGACTTCAATCGGAGAATATGTCCAGCACCAGAGGCTGCATTGCTTGGGCCATGTATTACGCGTGCCGACCCATCGTCTGCCGAAGAGAGTGCTGTTTTCCGCGCCCAACTCAGAGTGGCGGAAGCAGAGAGGTGGCCAAACCTTGAACCGGCAGAGGGGTATGAAAGATGATACGAAAAGTCAGTGCTGCTGGTGCGACTCGCCTGCGTGATACCTACTGCACCTGGTTGAAGACGCTGCAAGATATCACTTCTAATCGACGGCAATGTCGTTCTTGTTGTCAGTTTCTATCCAGATTCCAAGAATGTGTGTCTGAAGGTGTAGGCAACCCGGAACGATTGTAGTAAGCTAGCATTAAGACCCTTCCCCGTCTACTTTTCTTCAAAATAATGCTTCCAAATAGGTCATGGTTGTCAGGCACGAACACTGATGTTATGCTGCCGATCATGATGAAACAAGAAAAGAGTAATGATAGATAACTCGGGGTCAAGTCTACTATGCGAGCAGACACAAACCTGTCAGCCATTTGTGAATAACTGATCATTCCGGATGATGGGAATTTCACCTGCTGCTATGTCGCGACCTGGTTGAACCGTGATACGTGGTCAAACAAGCACGTTGTCCACCGAGGCACAAAAAAGCCGACCTAATAGATCAACCACGGGTAAGGTCTGTCTTTTGTCATCTCAATGACTGTAACGTCATTACTAATGTAGGTGTTACTATGCGTAGAGTTTGCATTTCTACGCAAGAGTCTACCGAACATCTACTCCACCAGTACGGACAATGAGTGACACAGGTCAAGTCACACTTTCACTGAACGCTCAAGCAAGTGTGAATCCATATACCTATGGTTCGCTGGTGGGTTTATTCTGCTCTTGGCAAGTGTGAAGAAAGGAATCCTTTCAACCTCGGTTGAAACGTTTTCTCAATTTCCACCTTTGATGCTACTCTGCAATCGATTTGTTTTAACAGGTAACGAGTTGGTTCAACCTGAAAATTCGGGTGCCTGCCAACGTTAAGAATGGACACCAGATGGACTCAATCAACGAAACTTCGTAACTGTAGTCTATATGAAAGTCACGGACACGCGATCCCAGTTCGCAGAATTGAAAATGTTCTTGGTATTTAGGAAGGGAAAGCGACCGATATGACTGACTATGAGAAGGCGTCAAGACCAAATAATTCGTGACGAATGTATCGGTCTGTGTACAACATCGCATCGTAATAAATAGCTAAGAAAACGCACTCAAAATGTGTTTTCGCGTCCGTTGAGCGACGAATAAACCAACAATTTTGAATGCTCAAATCTGAACAGGGAAAATAAATGGGTGTGAATAGAGAGCTGGAAAGAAGGCAGTCACACGAAAGCCACTTCTTTGACTATAAGTGAGCAGACAGTGTCCACAGTGTCCACCACTGGAGGAGAGAAATAGGGTTTTGGGCCCCTGTGACAAAGATTGTACTGTGCGCAAGTGCATAGCTATGGTTACATCATGTGTGCATGGAATAAGTGTATGAACGGATGGAATAGTTTGGTGGTGAGAAAGTACACAAAACCACAAAGCATTATCATTAGACACACGTGACAATTTGTGTAGGTAAGAGGAAAGCACTTCGCTCTATTGTTTCACGGCACTGATGATTTGGTGAGCTGGGAGATAGAACATAAGTTGCACAAGGACGGTTCGATAATTAGGTCGACTGTACCAAGAAGCAGCCAACCAGTTGAGCGAATTTGTGTAATCCATCGCTTCAGTTAGGTTAGCACAGAAAAATAATCGAAGCAAGTGACGTCAACGAGCAGGTTTGATATGCACTCATACTAGACCGGTTTTCTGGGGAGTCATCGTTGGACATGACCACGAAGGTGTTGGTATTTCGGCTTAAAAAGAAAACAAAGCTACTGACGAAAGGTGAGTAGTGCGAGAGTCGTAGGAAACATTGGGACAGCGAGAAATAGATGCCCTTCTCTCCTTAGGCGAGTGACGAAAAACGCGTGGAACTCACTTAACTAAGTAATGTGAGCGAATAATGAGGAAAGAATAATCTAAAGGTTGAAAAATTAGTCAGTTCCATTGGATGGAGATGGTGGCGTATTCAGATCACGGGCCATACAGGGGTACATGCGACTAGGGTGGAAACAAGCCTATATGAAACCTGCAGGGTGTCTGTGCAAGTTTTGAAAAATAGAGAGTGAAAGGACCAGTGGAATGAACAGCAAGGAATCAGTAGTGCCTGAAGAACTGGTATCAAATCGCATCTGAACTGGAGCAAATGAACGAAGTGGAGAAAGACAGGTGGTAGGTGGTATGGAGCGAGACAGGAGGTCGTGAGGAGTAGGTGTGAGAAGCAGATTGTCTACTTGCGTAGTGACACCCAAAGAGAAATAACATGACGGGCAGATGAATGCAAAAGGCGTTCAAATGCTGGAGTCGAATCACAGAAGGGATTGATAGATCATTATCTGTTTTGTGCGTACTAGCACACATGGTTCGTCATGAACGGTATGTCATCGTGACTATGACCATATTCGAGCGGGAACCGTTCATCATTGTAGACAGATTGAACACTGATTTTGGAGCCTGAGAAGAAAGACAACGGCATGCTTGTGGGTGTGTGCAGTGGCGATGAAGATGGATACGCTGCTATCGTTTCTATCTAGCGGACGGGATTTTGCTCAATTCTTTGGACTGAACCGCATTCTGGTACCGTTGTTGCTGTTGCTGCTGATGTTGTGACAGTTGGTGCCCCAATATTCGGTCAGTGTTAGTCCAACCATCAAAGGCTTTGTAGGTGTAGTTGATGAATGCCAAATTCTTCTGGTAACTTTTCATCGGATCAGTCACGTTGGCTAACACAAGAGGAACGAGAAAAGAACGGGTAGGTAATGAAGTGTGCACGGTAGTAAACAACGGAGTATATAACACAGAATGTTGAGATAGACAACACGAGTGTGCGATGCTACAGCGTTGTCTGAGTATGACACATCCTGCAACCGAGAGATAGGAGGAACATAAACAACTTTTTTACTTCAGTTTGCCTATACATCGCGTAACTGAAGCGCACGAAGGAACGCAGTGCGAAAAGAAAAGCATGGTGGGGCAGCGAGATTACTGTTATCCTGCCCAAATATGTTCGACAGGCATCGGGATGGATGAAGTTCAGCGAGAAATTACTGGAAGTGACTAACCCTTGATTAATAGTATTCGTAAGGAGGCTGTCCCTCCAGTAGGGAGGACACCTGAAGAGATCAATCAAAAGTGTATTCTGCGATGAGGGCGGTACTAACACTGAGAATTAACTTCCAGAGGAGGCGGTCCAGTACGACAGAAGACCACAGTTCCTTCGGATTATCTTGTTTCCGAAATCGAACATAATTGACGGTGGGTGGGCAAGAACAATCGATTCATTGGGTTACTGACGCCCGGTCATCCTCAAACTAGCTTACAAATGTTTATTTCTTACTGCTACTCTTACTAGCCAGCCCCTCACATCTCGTGAAAATTATCCAAAGAAGATCCAGTCTTTATTCTTGAGCTATCCAAGGATATCTCAAACTCAGTTGCAAGATTAAGACCTAAGACTAATATACTTTCTACAGAACAATTGTATTTTCAGGAGACTCATATGAAGTACAGCTGAATCTCTCGATATCCTCCTGGAATTCAGGTGAGTCTCAAGCGAAAACCAATTTGGATTGCAAGTAGCTATGTAGTTGCCGGATTTCATGCAATTTGGATTCAAGTAGAACATGGGGTTGAAAAACTCGGGGACTGCATCTACCTGATGAGCCTCAGGAAAGGAGAAACCGGCAGTGGGCTGTCGAAGATTTTTCAGAGACCTTATCTGCTATTATTGTGATCACTGAGGATTCACTCCCACGGGCGCAAAGTTGTTTTGAGATGAGTCGACCATGAAGCAGTAAGTGTGTCTTGATAGTTCATAAGGTCGGTCAATAGAATCCAGTATTTTTGATTTTTTGTTTCACATCCACCCCTACAGACTCCAAGATAACCCTTAAGATATGTAATGTGCTTCCTGAATCCAGTAATAGTGGTCACACTCTGCCTTCCTACAGGTTATTCCAATATATCGTTCGTTTCATTTCACCACAGTAGGCAGGTGGTACTTACGCAACCACAACTAATTGAAGATCCGCACACACAAGACAAACAGTCCCTATCTCCAGAAGGGTACAACTATACACCATATACTGCCGCATCTCTCCAACAGAAAAAAGACACCTTATATACAATACAGGACAAATGTTGATACCTAACCTTAAAACTCTCCCCTACTTGTTGGAGCCGAACGGAGGCAATCTCCATACCAATTGATCGCCTTGAGCTGCACCCATGTGGGCTTAAACTATCCACATGATCGTTGTGGGTGAACCTTGTGAGGGCCTTACTCAATACGGTACCGCAAAAAGCTGCTTGTACCATTCGCCAGGCCAAATTAATTACAGTCAAGTTTATCCTGGTCTCAAATTCTCAATATGGATGCAACGCAGCGCATGCAATTCATCCGAGCTGCTATCGCACTGACTGATAGAAATCGACAGATGCGAAAGAGATACTGAAAATTAAGTGAGGACATAAAGATGCGGTTTCCTGTGGCTTAGATAACGGCAAAACATCACACGTAGCCTCATACATAACGTAAATAACCAAGGTTTGTGTGAAATAAGAGTCACTCACGCCAACTAAGATCAGCATTTGGAAATTCATCAAAGTTGCTGGTATCATCAATCGACCGAATGTTTACAGCGATCGCTGCTGGCCGTTCGCGGATGTGGTCCCAGTCAACATTGAGGAAGAAGGGATGCCGCTGGATCTCGTCCAGATTAGATAACCGTGATTCGGCACCGCAGCAAAACGACTGAATGAGGTGACGAGCATTTGCTCTGATGGGCATCTCATGCGGGAATATTAATGCATCCTTCCAATTCATAACTTTTTTGTACGTCTCTTGCGGTGTGGATGAACAAAAGGGAGGATAACCTGAGAGAAACAGAATCGGGTGAAAGAGAGTAATGTGTGTAGATGACTAAAAAACCAAGATGATGGATGTAATAAAGAGAGGTGAGCAGAAAATGATAATGCTTCAAAGGAATAGCGTCGTAGGTTTTGATATGCAATGAACGTAGAAAGATATAAACACTTACTAACGGGATAAACACGGTGGAGTTGAAAACTCTAAGTTGGTTTCGAATAAAGCTGTTGATTAGTGTGCTTTGTGAAGTGAGACACTATACCACCAATGCTATTTTCAACTCGACAGGTGAATGGACACCCGTCAAAACCCAGCAAACCTCGTCCCCCATACATTGAACGGTTCAGTTGAATCACAGTTAAGTTTTCGTTCGATTGAGTAGAGATTCCCGTCCGTACCCGCGGCACCATGAAACATGAAAAGTGACTTGATTGAGGATTTTTCTTGTGTCGCTGTCAGCGCACGGCATACATTGCACGGACAAATGACAAATCCCGCAACCATCATAATCCGATCATGATTCACAGGCGATATTACAATCGAACCGGTTGATCGAGCAATTGGTCTTAGAAATTGGAATACAAATCTTATCCACCCCAGTCTGACAGGGATAAAACGATTCATCATTCTGACTGATGGCACTGAGAATGAAACCCGAGATGAACGCATTCCGCACATCACAAAATTCCAAACCGATATCAAAGAGTTTCACCTAACCGACGATATTAGAATGTATCGAAATGTATCAACATTAATTCTGGTGAATCTCGGTAGGATCGGTTATCTTATTGATCAGACATCGAATGCTCGGAGGTTTTAAAATATGTCAGCCTAGCCTTAATGGTTTCAAATTGCTGACCCTTTCGAAACTGAGAGTATCACGTTTCAGAGCAACGAGGTGGGACAAAAAACTGTCTTTATGATCGTAGGTCGCCTATCAATGCATTTTTGGTGTATACCAATGGAAATGTTCTGCGATGCGTTTCGTACGGACGAGATATGAGTGCATCAGCATTACCGAAATTAAAATGCGTGTTCAGATCCGAGTAGCTCGCTAAGATGACACTAATGGTCGGTAAGAGCTCGAGATAGCTCAGTGGTTAAGGCGAGGACCAACTGACCGCAACGTTTGTAGTCCGAACCGAACCTCTGCATCTCTACTGCTCCTGTCTAGGCTTGGGCGATCTGGATGTATCGCAACCTCAATGCTTCCTTCGCGTGACACAGCAGCTGTGCACCAAGAATATTACAGTTTAACGATTATATATTATTATTAATGGTCACTGAACAACGGTAACGGTCCATTCAGCAATATAAAAGAGAGTTCTGAATTCCTGTCTAGCTTGGGCGATCTGGATGTATCGCAACCTCAATGCTTCCTTCGCGTGACACAGCAGCTGTGCACCAAGAATATTACAGTTTAACGATTATATATTATTATTAATGGTCACTGAACAACGGTAACGGTCCATTCAGCAATATAAAAGAGAGTTCTGAACGCGCATATGATACTGTCCGTAGCAGCGGAGTCGATTTCCAGTAGGGAGATGTGATCTTGAGTATGCCTGCATCGGCGGATTTGTACACGAGGCCTGGATCACGCAAGTAAACAGAAAAAAATCAGGCAAACGTTGGAACCGAAGAAGAAATAACAAGTCTAACACCACATATACCTAGATTTGTGCACAGCGGTATACCCGAACGAAACACAATTATCAGTCCAACCAGCTTGGGGAAGCAAATGCAGCTGACTAGACCAGAGCGTCTCTATTCCGAGCACGTAGTTGTTCCTAATTAAAACACGTGCGAACAGGCAAAGCGACATATCAAAATGTGTGCGCGGATGTTCGGTTTCTCGAAGTGAAGATAGTGGACTGAATCATCCGAACACATGTAGAGCTGGCACTAAACCGAACCGAAGTGTGTGCTAGCGGTGGTACCAAGCGTAAATCACGTGTGCGCGTGTGTATGCATTAGCCACGAGATGCACTAACGTCTGGTCGGTTGGACCTGATGAGAAAATCCGCGCATGAGATGACATCAAGCATACCATTCACAAACAATGACTCTGATAGTTACAAACTGATGGAAAGAGCTAAAACTAGTGACGTTGAAGAAATCGATTGGTGGTCACCTATATATGAAATAACTACCAAACATACTGGGTGAACTGTCTGTTGACCTGAAGGGGTCAGTGGATTGAGTAAATAATGGAAAGCATATCATGAGGACAGCAGAGAGCTCAGGACACAATCGCAGAGGACGCCGAAAGCGGAACAAACAATGCCGAGCACCAGCAACTGAGTGACCATATCGCAGAACGAACCTAACAGATCAGAGGTATAGGAAAGCGGAAAAACGCCGGGTTAACCGTGACTGGCCAGGGTAAGCCGGAAGTATCATTCGCCCTTGCAGCTCCTGGCTTACCGGCTTTCCCTTACGCTCCTTCCCCAACCGTAGAACGATAGAGTGCCACCAATCCTCTAACCGCTGTTCAGTGCCTAAACCGCCGCCCACAAATAAACAAAAATAGTCACTTACTAACCTCAAAAGGTCTGATCCACATTGCAGCCTTTAGTGTCCGTACTCTGCGTCACATTGAGCAACAGGCATCCCTTGTCGAAATCCTACTTTCCCCCTCTATAGATGTATATTTTGTCCCGCATGCCAGACCCCACCTCGGTCGTACATCCCAAGCCGCTTGTAACGAGCACACATGTTCCGAATTTCACTTTTTGAGTATCCGGTGATCCTGACATATTGGCTCGTGATATATACGGTAGGGAGTTGCACTCAGCCCCAAGACTGGATCCCAGTAAACAGTCCCTGTGTTATGCGGTTATCTGGCTCAATTAAGATCAATGTAGGCTGATGCGGTAAACGGTGTTTATTGGTCTTACCAGCGTAACCCCTGACAGACTGCAGTTCTGAGACTGAGAAGGGCAGGTTTTGTCAAGACTTATCGCGACTGCTTGGGTCAGCAAGAAAGACGGATATGGTAATCCTTGCTGGTGCTATTAATGCCCAAGTTGAACGACTAAGTCCGGAAAAAGCACAGCCACGTAGCAGAGTTGGAGTCGATGCTGAGCGTACGGATAATTGGGATCGACTGCTTCAGTTGCGTGCAGATCATCGTAGGTTCCTGGCCAGTACGAGCTTTCAATACAAATGCTCACATCGGTTTACATGGAGGCCACCTACTAAAAGACAGTCATGGACTCAGTTGAACCACGTGGCTACCAGTTATCGATCGAGAGTGTCAATTGAGGATTATCGCTGCTTCTGGTGTACGCAGCTTGACCCTGATCATGCCATTGTGCGGGGCCGACTATTACTTTACTTTCCGTCAGCATTAAATGTCCGAAAGCACAGCAACTCAATTCATCAAATGCGACAAGTTTCAGCAGCGAAAGGGTATCCGGCTGATCTGGCTAGAAAGCTCCTGGAAGCACACAGTGCTGTAGATTACGAAGATTGCTAGGAGGCTGGGTGAAAGCGTGTTAAAGAAGCTACGCTATCAGCTTCCAGAACGGTCTGTCCAAACCATCTGACTTGACCAAATGAACACTGGATATCGTCAAGACCAGCAGATATCAATGCGGCCAGAAAGTTCAAACCAGCAACTAGCGACGGTTCTGGCACACGCAGATCCGTCAAACACCGAGTAATCAGGAACTTGAAGAATGACAGAGAAAGCTGATGGATTCCGAAGGCCCAGGACATGGAGAAGACTTTCGCAGTGGGCAGCAGCGCCATATTTAAGCTAATTCAATCGAGCGATCAAAAGGCTGGCGTAAGTAAAACCATATTAGAAAAAAGACGGAACAACAATTCACTCCCTCAACCGTCGTTCAACACAACAGCCGAAAGAACCCAGCGGAGCTGGATGGAGCATCGACACCAGCCCACCATCAACAGAAATCCAGCGTGAGATATCAATCCTCAAGACTATTTGGTAAATGAATTCATGTAAACAATGAGCGAATTGGGCTGCTGCTGTTTCTGTGCTTGATTCCTTAATGACTGATAGTATATACCATTAAACTGCACAGATCACCCGTAGCAGATGCTTTCGGAAAGTGATGGCAAAGCAATGGACTGGGTATGAATGCCAGAGCTACGAGAATATGTTTGGTTTGACATCATAAAGCTCTCTGAAATTAGCACGTTTGAATGTAGAACACCAATGCAGTCGAATCATTTTGGAGCTGCAAGATTTCAACAAACATCATCCAAAAATGGCTAACAACTAATCTTGGTTCGGGCGAATTCGGGAACGGGTTAACCGTTTGAAAAAGGTTTGCCTTAGTAGCTAAAGTCCACCCTTAACGCTTTTCCGTGGCGGAATCGGCAAGTAAAGACGCAAACAGGCACTGTCAAGCTCATAGACATTGTAAAATAACCAAGAATCTTGCAACATGATAACTCATGAGTACCACAGCACAATGGTTCGTTTATCAAGTATAACACATTGAGGGCTAACGGTTGCGCATTAGAAAGCGACAGGGTGTGTGGTTCAGAAGCGAGAAACCAGTATTGTGTCGCTGTTTTGCGTAGATTAACGACAGTATCGATGGAGCACGACTGGTGCATTTGTCACACAATCGTGGGTTGAGTTACTATACAAACTGGTAAGCGGCCCGTTGAAATTCAGGTAGTAAGTTTTTGCTCACTTGGGATCTATGGTCAGAATGTGATAGACGAACTACGACTCACCAATGAGCATCTCGAACATGATCACTCCTAGAGACCACCAATCACAAGAGTTTGTGTAGCCTTTGTGCTGAAACACTTCTGGGGCAATATAGTCTGGAGTACCAACCGTTGAATAGGCCTGCAGATGGAGAGGATGAGGAATAAGATAACCGGATTCTGGTTCTATTATGGTACATCGAATTCACTACAGAGGACACTCGACTAGTCGCTACTGCGACAACAAACGGCCGGTCAATAAAGTGGGTCGAACGTCTAGATAAACAACAGGTATGCACACGGCGTTTTTGTGGGTGGTCGTCGCTTGAGTAAAAGAAAAGTCGCCGGATCATCAGCACACAGAAACAAGGACGCACACACACACACACGCATACAAAGACGGGGCACATGATGTCGAGTTGCTCGCAAGGTATGGCCACGCAACTATATGAACAACTGATGGTGCTTCGCAGCCACGGATGGGTGGCGCACGAACACGAACACAATGATACACATTCATGGGGAGGTTGTTCATTCAAATGATGGAATTTCACTAATCCGTGTTTGCTTGCTGTTACGATGAGAATGTGAAACAATTGGTGAGTTATTCGATCGGCTGCTAGCAATTTGACGAGTGATGAATTCCACTGTTGTGTTCAAGAATCCATTGACTGTCCGAATGGAGAATGTCAATCAATCGAATCACGAAGTGTAAACAAGGGCCAAAGGACCGACAGATATACGTGAATTCCAGTCGTTCTTTGGCTGCGGATAGCTCCAGCGAAGGAACTATTATAAACTTTGAGACAGAGTGTTGCAGTGATCGCCGTAAGGACGGTCTATATCTCTAAATTGTGAACCCACAGTTGGATGGCACAGACTGACAGAGACAATGCTCTGATAAATTAATAGGTTCACTGTTAGAACGTGAACTAGTGTCAATGGATTCGTGGCAGAATATCGGGCAGAGAGGGAGAGTGTGAGGATAAACGCAGCCAAAGTGAGGCCTTGTCGTTGAAGATGATCAACTGCGTATGGAAAATGTGCGTGCAGACCTTTTATAGGCAAAATGAGATCGCCTACTCACACTTTAGGTCACCTCTACATGCATGATACACAAGACCACTGTCAGCTTTTTACACGTACATCAGATCATTCCATTGTACGAGGCCTGTACGAGCAAACCGAGTTTATCGTACAGGTCATAAGCATCGTAAAGAGATTCAATCTAACGAAAGTGGATAGATAGATATATAGGTAGGTAGATGGATAGACGAGTTAAGTTCAATCAAGATGATGCAGGATGATCAACAAAAATGGAAGAGCGAGGACAATTGAACCATCCACTATCTGAACGCTGAAAAAGTCGGAATACAGAATTCAAACAACACGTGCCGTCAGTCTAAACTGTAAGACTGCAACAATCATAACGTGCAAACGGTGTCCTGAATAACAGACATGATCGTAAAACTGACGTGAACAGCTGTTCGCAACAGCTGGATGTTATCTCGTTGAGCACGTGACACATGTTGTCAACCCAAAAATCCAGTTGGGGGAAAGGTCAATAACCATGTCAGCAGCCAATGAGCTGCAAACAGATAACTAACGATAGAAATACTCCGCACAGTGTTGAAAATGAAACGAGGTACGTATAGCTATGAGACAATGCAATGCAATGGAATCTGACCAACACAGTAGTTCGTCCGAAGAGATCAAGCAATCAATACTCCACCAAAATTCATTGGGAAGATTGACTCATGATATCACACTGCCGTCCAAGTATCCTAACACAAACTAAGGAGCCATCGCAATCCTATATAAGCCGCGTACAACCAGTAATCAAAAGGAAAATAATACAGATAACGCGGTTGGGTTGTGAGTTGAGACTGATAACTCATGCTCATAATTGAATACATTCACAGAGCGAACGGCTGGTAATTTAGACTAAAGTATGATGTAAGTTATGATGTAAGAATAAACAGTTCTGCGGAGGAGATAAATAGTTTCTCCGAGTTCCTGTTAGGTAAAACGACCCGTTTATTGAAAGGTACGAAAAGCCACCCAAAAGGTGATGCGGTGGGAAGTTGACTGCGCCGAGTGCTTAGAGGAAGTGCAAACACGAAACAGAGTGAAGGGTGTTGGCTTCTTGCATCACTTAAGTTGTCCATTGAATTCACCGACAGGTGACACACTGCCAGCCGAAGACCAAACACACGCTGAACAGATAAAACCGAATGGCGTCTTTTGATAATATTCCGCTCGTAGGCACGGTACAAAGAGTGGTCGTGTTCCCAGCAAAAGTTTGACTAGCATTGCAAGAATACCACAAGAAATGCTGACTACAGAAAGAGAAGAGGTCACTTCTGAGAGATGGAGTATTAAATTTCACGTACAGAAGGACCTGGTACTGGTCTATCGTCCAAGCACCCCAACTGAAAACCGATTTCACATCAAATTCATAAGCGCATTCTCCCACTATTGACCACCCTGGCCAAATCCGAGATGACTACGCACCGATCACAGTGTCACCAAACGTGAAACTTAACCGCCTGTGTCCGTCCTAGATGAATCAAGCCTGCCAACCCTCAAGGAAATGGGAGACCGATACGTCTAGGGAAACTGAAGCTTCCAGATGGGCGGACCCGAAATGAAATCGTATTCATTGTAAGGGTTCAGTAAGTGTTTGACACGTTGTGCAATTAATCAAGTCAACGACACGACTGAGGCATCCCGTATACAGCAAGCACACTGATGACGGGACACACGAAACTGCTTACAATACATAGGCGACTGCCTTATATTTCTTGAACTGTCTTCGGGACTGAACGTGTTGGCATCAACCATACGAGGTCCATGAACTTCACAATCAGGTCAGAACGAGAGAAATCATCCCAGTCAAAGAATTCCCAGTTCTTTGGTGGATAAGAGGAGGAGCGATTGTCAAATATGATAGCTATCGAGTGCTGCACGTCACCAATAACTAGTGGAGTAAAATGCCACGTCGGACATAAACAACAAACACAGCATTTGCCAGCTTACTGCCACAAGGAAAGAAACAATTTCTGTAAGCTGAATTGTGCTGTGGCAGAGAAGGTCTCACATGCGCAACACTTGTCAGAATGCTAATGTGGCAAACAAGTAGTCCAAACCGTTCGCAATCAGAGTACATTTAGTGTTGAACAGATTGCTTACCAATGGATCACAGATAGTTTAAGACCACCTTGAACTGAAGCCGAGTGCTCTTGGTCGAACTCAAGTGAAAAATGGATACGCAGGAAAAACCACTGAGTAAAACTTGCGCTGCAGGGTAAAGTTTGCAAAAGCAGTCAAGCAAACCGATCCGAAAACTACCGTGATGTTCCATTTCCCTGATGTGGCCTACTCAGCTTCAGCAGTTACGCATTCGCCCGTGGAAAAACTACCAGTTCTAATATGGGATTATCGATCCACTCCGTGTTTCTAAACATGGACTATTTGATCAGCCGGACGTTAACAATCATTGAGAGTTACGTGCTTCTTGTGCTATTGCCTGATCACTCCACTTGTAGTGAACGAGTGTATTGTTATCATTTTAAAAAAACTACGACAAACAAATCCAGATCACCGGTCCTGTGTGAATGTGCCGAACTCCGGAATGAACAGGGGAGGATTCTCAACTTCTGCAGGATCAGTAAGGCACGATAAGGACTCAATGATCAATTGATCACAGCTGTACAAGGAACCATTCACCGATGTGGCTGTTCCTCTACGCTTATTGGGTGAAGCCTAAACATTAGGGCGGTAACTGGAATTCGACAATCAGCCGCCACAGGCGTTCTACAAAGATTTTTTATTTGGCCCTCTATCTAGCCTGAAATCCAGTCGAAATACTATTGAACCTCTGTACGACGGGCAAGAAAATGAATACAGCTACCGAGGTGACTGCGTTTGGTGGAATCACCTGCAATCTAAGAACAAAACGTACTTTGAGGGATTGAAATACAGAAAAACGGTCAGAAGTCGATAAACGGTTGGTGCATGCTATGAATTGTGGGATCTCTTTCCCAGTAAATCAGACGACCTGGAATTCCAGAACAAAGGAAACATCAGGTTTTGAAGGCAAGTCGACGGAGCAGGTAATTTCCGATTGAACTAGGTTCAATTATACAAGGTCGCTGTATCCACTGGGAAAATCCATAGCGTTAAAGGATAGTTGGCAAATGTGTTTAACGCTTGGGTGAGAAGCATCAACTTCCTGGTTTAATTATGACCCTCCACATTGATTGACCAAGCACTTCAAACAAGATTGTCAACGACAAAGACCAGGAGCTATGAGCTATGAACAAAGAGTAGACCTTTTCTGCCAGAGACTGCGACACCTTGCACCTGAAATATCATGACTTGATCACACCAGACACAGTTACACAGACAACCAGGTGTAGATAAACACTTTTGACGAAATCCGGAAACCAAATTGCACTGGAAGAATGACTGAAACCACAAAATATGTACGTCTCTTACGAGTGAGTGAGTGAACTATGTAGGAAAGTCAAAATAACACGGTCGGTATTCGAAAGCAATACATTGCAATACATGCTCCTCCATGAACAAGGACCTTCTGAGAATAATAACTTGGTGTGTCAGTTGGAAAAAGGTTTAGAAATAAACACAGACCGAAAAGAGTTAGAAGCTTGAAGAGCAACGACAACTGAGTAGATTAAGGAGACATAAATTACCCGCAAGATGGCGAACACGAGATACATAGTCTACAATACCCTGGGTTCAGAAAACGGTGGATATGAAGAGAACGATAAACCTTTTCACAGAAATCTCATTTGTCAAGGTGGGTCGCGAAATCCCTCGAATACCGTTCGAACACATTAACGGATAGTAGCGAGGAGTATGACATGGGAACGTACCAGACGCCGGCGTTTCTTATTCCAACCCTCCGCTCGTCTCCGGGAGTCCGCATGATCGGATGCTGCATGGAAGTGAGATAATTTGATAGAAGCAAATGTGGAAAGCCAGTCTAGTGAACAATCTTATTCGTTGGAGGAACACCGTAGATGGACAGGAAAACACTTGCTTGATGATGTTTCCATCGCGTAGATGTGACCAATATTAACTGTATACGATCAGGGTGGGATAAACTGCTTCGTATGTGTGCTACGAGTGCCTCGTTTCATCTAGGATAGAAGTACCAGATAATTAATAATATTTCCTTCCTCGGGACGAAACAAACGAATGGCGAGCAACCCTGAAAGATATGATTGTGTCATGCAATCAATCGGAGTCCTGCATCGAAGCCTTCTACCATCACTGTATAGCTCTCATTCTATCTCATACGGGACAAACAGAATCATTTGACGTCAATGAATGGATTGATAGTTGTCGACTCCAGCATATGACCCCCATTTCCTAGGTCACCTAATCCTGTAGCAGCTAGAACTGCTGTACGTTGGTACGCGGTTTATAGCTAAAAAATTTAACGAAAGTAAACTGGGACATACTAATCCCGTAAAGTAGTAGTTAGCCCGTCAGCAGACTGATTGCGTGTTGTGCCGTAACAAGAACCAGAACAAACCAATTCATCACGGAGATGTGAACACTAATGACAACAATGAGGCCCATTGAAAACTCGATGTCAAATCTCATTGGGTTGCTTCGTTCCTAGTGTCAACTCCATTATCGTCACTACACGTTGCAAGCGTGAAAATGGATGATGTATGCGTGTCCTCGGACCAAGTTGTCGGGTTAAAAGGACATTGGGATAGTGAATCAGTGGCGCGCCTATGAAATGAAGTGTTTAATGTGAGATTCGAAAATTGAACACTAAGTCAATGAGGTGGAGCACTTTCATTAGGATCTCTCCTATCATCCTGGGAGATAGATTTCTTCGGTGACAAGGTTGCAAGTTCCGCTTCTCTTTGGGGAGGCAATATCGTCAGGGCGATATTGCCTGATGTCTGGCGATGTTGTGGAATATGGGCAGCTCCGATGCACTGCTCGGTTGTTGGTCTGTTCACTGAGTGTGGCATTTGAATTGCAAAACGTCAATTGTGAAGTCGTCAGTGCGGGTCAGAGCGACAAGGTCGAAGGTTATAGTCACACCTGTCTCAACTGTAAGCGAGTACACTATCACTTTCAGAGCGATCAAGCGTTAATCAGAAGTCGCCTCATAAAACTTAATGTCAATAGAATGTTATGAGTCCATGTATGCAAGTGTTAATTACTTTCTGGTAATCCCTCAGTTAGTGTGCCGCTGCGAAACAGAAGTACTTGGGTAGGCGGCACCAATAGGAATCTCCGAGGGACTACCGTACATGAAGCTAAGCCAAACGAATAGGCCGCGTTGAGATTAGGGAAAGTTGTGTGTAACTTCGCCCTACGACGGATGTCACAGAGTTCTGTACAGAAAATCAGACCACAGAACAAATAGCTCAGTCGGCCAACCGACATACAAACCTCATCATCGCAATGAGTGGAATTGGTAAACTTAAAACATGAGCTACAAATACAACGTAATTTGAAAGTTGACAGACACCGTAAACCTGGATAGTGATAAAAATCACCAGTACATCCGACAACGAAACCTCTTATCGAATCGTGAAGTCGTCAACTCTGAGCCTTGCTGAAAAAACGGCATTATGTAAACTGATGGTGAAAAAATCCCCATGGGTTACAGATAACCCAGAGGGTAAAAACTCGCTGAGTTCAATCGAACGTCACGAAAGAGAATTCATGCACATTTTAGTGCATCAGAAATGGCGAGTACATGACATATAATAGGATCCTAAATGTTGGCTGGGCGTGGTCGCACGGGACAAGTCTACGCTCGCTGATTCATTCATACAATGGGTATTTTTTTAACGTAGCATACGTATGAACCCACCATAGAGGATTAGTCGTCACAAAACAAAAACAAACAAAATATGGTTCGAACACCTATGTGCTCGTAGTGGTCCAAATCCGATAATCTGGATCTTGGAATTTAGGCACTTTAACGGTCTTAGACGGTGAATTCTGTGACTGCCTACCGAAAGAATAGCCCTCGGTTAGCCTCAAAAGTGATGAAACTGAATAGATGCCATCCCGTAGGAGATCAAAACACAGATGACAACGACAAAGCTCTCGCCCGGTTGTGAATGTGAGAAAAGAACAGTTATTATTGGCTATTCCAGTTGCCAAGCACGGCGTTAGTGTGTCAAATCTACTGAAACTTCATGCTGTTTCAAGTTTCCGTCACTCAGATTTGCATTCTGATGCTACTATCGGAAACTGATGAAGGGTTGAAGCAAAATAGTCCAACCTGCGGTGAACAATTCGGTTCACAATTGGAAGACAAGTTGCAAAATTGAACATAAAACCCGGAGCCACCCAATTGCGACTCAGTGGGATCAGTCTACACAGGCAAACGTTCCGATGGAGTGGTGGTCAAGTTCACCTCAGTATCCAGCTTGAATAAGTTCGGAAACTAACCGACAAAACAATTCATAAAGGAGTCAGGAACACGACGCTTCGGACTGAAGCGAACGGAACTGGAATAAACTCAACTCCAAATTCACAGCGTCCGAAAGCANCTGGAATAAATCAACTCCAAATTCACAGCGTCCGAAAGCATTCGCTAGAACGCACTCCAGAGAACATCTCGATTTTCTCATGCGAACTAATCGAAAGCCATTTTTTCTCTTGTGAGAGAAACAGAGAGACAAAATAAAAACCAGTACATCAACATGCTAGGAACTCGGAATTGTATAAAAAGCCCACAAAACATCCAAACTATTTCGAAGCAGAATCTAGTGAGGTTGATAAACCTGGGTACAGCTGATGGAGAATACTTCAGTGTGGCAATTTAACTGAAACTTACAAAAATCACTTGGTTTCGCTTGGGACAGGTCCTTGTAGAATTCCGTTCGATGGGCCTTTTTCAAGCCGGTACACAGGCCAAAGTCGCTGAGCTTGATATGGCCCTGATGGTAGGAATACAAATAAGGTGCAAGCTGTAAGATAATGAAAGCTATATGTTGCCAATATTTTAGAGCGTCGTGGTCAGTTTGGGAGTTTTACTGCTGAGACAGAGCACACGGCTAAAACGCCTACATGAATTACGGCATACATTCTCATAAAATTACGTATCCAGGTGGGAAATGTTCCAAAATCTTGAATGCTGAAGCAGGACGGTCTTGAGTGAAGATATATATTGGTCCATAATTATGGAACAATAATGAAATAACCCAATCGGTTTGAATACAGAAAATCCTAGTCCTAGAACACGATAACAGTATGCGATAGTGCCATAACTGATAATCCAGAATGAACGATGAACAAACATCGCTGAAATTTGTCTCGTCCACTAACCGTTCCGTAGGACGATAATGTATTTTTACCATTCACCACAGCCTAGATTAGATCCCTTCTTCTGGGATCAGGAAAGTCAACGTTTTTTCCGTCTCAGCTACAAAGTGCGCTCCAATTTGTAGGGGCCCTGAGACGGGTGAAGATTAGGCGGTTCTGAGAAAAAAACGAGCAGGAAGGCTTCGTACCCATTGAAGAAGTTGAGGTTCAGAGGCTACGAATGGTGACATGACTGATAAGGGCATGGGTGAACAACGGTACGAGCCTGTTTGACAGCATACTCCTTTGACTGCCAACCACCGACATTCAGATAACTGGTCATTGGCTTCACATTTTTCATACCGGCTTGACAGTATACTAAACTGAACTTTTTTTGCAGCGTTCGCCTTTTCGGCAAATTTACGTCGACATCAACGTAGGTTCAGAGATATATGGTTCTGGAAACAATCCGCTGTAAAAATTTATCACAAGGCTTCTTGAAAGAAAGGTCAAAGGGGATCAATTCAAGGGGGTTAATGACGTATAGGATTTGTAATCTCGGGCTGATACGACGTTCGACATTTTTCGTAGAAGCAACAGTAGAGCAACTAAGGTAGGGGCAAAGTCCTTCCAGTCGTTGTTCATAGAAAGACAGGGTGACTTATCTAAAGACGATTCAACGGGAATGGGGCTCCGATGCGCTGGGGTTTAAGTGAATGACAGTAGATTTTAATCGTTGTTCAGATTGGTGGGTGACAGGGAACATCTGGTGTGAATACTCAAGTTCACAAAAGGAGGGAATCAAAATACAGACCGACGCCGATATTAGTTGAATGAACATCTGGTTTAGACAAAAACAGAAGGGTGACACGTAAAATACGATATATACGTAAGCAGGTAGCGATTATACCGCGGAGCTATCGAGGACGTACAGCGGTCCGTGGACAGAGGTGCGGAGTGGTGGTTTGAAGTGAATGACAACTCACGTTGGAATGTCTAATAACAGTTGGAGAAGTATGAAGGTTATTTCCTCCAGGAACAACACGACGGCTGCCAACCGGAAGACGAGGTTTTTAATTTACAAAACAGGATGCTCATCAAGATGCGGTCGACTGGTTGATGAGATGAACTCAAAAAGTGACACTTCAAGTGCAGAACAGTCGTAGCTCTTGAAGAAACTCTGCCAGAATGGGGGCAGAAATTTTCCGACCCAACCCGGGGTATATACAAAGTTAATCACTTTACGTAGTGTGTAAAAATAATCATGCCCGTTTATTCTTCAGTTTAGGAATTTCAGACCCATTGGCAAAGGTCTTTACTACTAGGTAAAACTTTGAATCACCGGTTTCCGAATATTAACCACCTACCGTGCCAGTTGTTGGCGGTTCGGAAGAGTTAGAATAGGTCGAAAGGTTACAACCCCGTTTCTGTCTTCGAAAGTTCATTGGAGCCCAAGCACTAAGCAATCACTTGGCTTTAGGTGCTTCCTTATCTTACCAATAGCATACAAGTAACAAAACGAGGCAGTGAGGCATTAGGCTGAACCGAAACTTGCAATCCCGTAAGTGACAGTTCTTATTCCCGGTTACTGGTCCTGAGACTGACTTAACGATAAAAAGCACCTGCAAATGCGAGTCTCCCCGCTCTCACTACATCAGTGACACTTCAGTTGGGAACGGCACACAGTGGAAGCGACTGTGGGGTTGTTTCGAACAGGAAGATCGTGGAGTCGTGTGGAAACGGCTTAGATGCCGGTCGAATTCTTACGACACATGTCAGCCAAGCGTAAGCATGCTCAGTTCACAATTTAGATGAGTTCAGCGCTTGTTGCTCGAAAGGCACTGGCTTGTGGCATTGAGGCACGAAGTGGAGTACGCACTACTGATGAACTTCGATAACGGTATCACCCAAGTTGTGTGTCTTCGTGTTGGTGTGAACTCATCAAATGAGGCTGCCAGAAGGACGGCTTAGAGGATGAAGTGGAGGTAATCCCAACTAGAAAGCTCGATCAGAGAAAGTGATAACGAAAATTTTGGTCACAATTCTTCCATATTGGATTGGATTTCGATACGCAAGCGTCCATCACGACGACCTACGTCAGCTGCCAAGGTAGACCCATGGACACGCGTTTTCAGTGTTACCTAAACGAAATACAAAGATAGACAATACGACCCCAAGATGCAATGTAACTCGTTTGATAATTACTGCGAAGAATTTAGCGCGGCGCATGCGTATCTATATAGGCTTTATCTCGGAGGCAAACAAACATCTCGTTAGGCGCGTCATCAAATGACAAAACAACTCAGTCGCCGAAGCGAGCTGACAAAGAAGACGAACAGAATTTTGTGTGGCTAAAGTACACAAACTATGGGGGTGGAGGCTAACACCCGTGTGGATATCACCTTGGGTAGGAATTAGGTTACTAGGTCTGATTGACAGTGAATTCGCCCTGAACTGAAGTGATTTCAGCATAATAGGTCATCTCCAAATAACCTCAAGTTGTGGATTCGGACAGCAGATGCAAATCCCAACCCTCAACCAAGCATTCGGAAGTTTCGTCAAAGTTGCAAGTAGGCGTGGTACAGCTGCAGACTAGGTTCTAAAGTAGAAGAGCTATGCCACTGGATATGAGGACACACAAGCTGCACACAGATTTCGTACAACCAGAGTCACCCCTGCAGGTATTGAGGACAAATATGACCCCGTTATTTCGCGAAATCAATAAACCGGACCTGGTATTAAAGAAACCATATGGATCACATAAACTAAGTAGATGGAGTCCTCTGTTTCACATACAAATGCACAATCTGTCATTTAACCATCGATTGATTGAAATACTGGAACCTATGAAATGTGGATAAATATGAAGACGTCAGAGAAAAAGATATCGGTCAAGTAAAAGCCTTAGCCAACCAACCAGTCACAACCAAAGCACCATCATATGGGACAGCAGAGAATTCCGATAGTACAGGCAGACAGCACTACGGATTTGGAAGGCAACATGTAGGTAGAACAAGCTTCGGACAAAACGGAGTGAAGTGGATGTTAAGATCCGAAAGAACCATGAAAATGTGAGCAGTATTCAATGGAATCGCTGGACACTAGATAGCGAAATGGATCTAGGTAATAAAATGTCCGCTCTCCTCGAGTGATCCAGGGAAGAAAACATCCACTGCCCTAGGGAACTTGCGACTATAAACCTCATGGTAATGTTATGTGAGAGAGATAAGAGCCTCAGTTTGAGTGGCTAAAAGGCTAGTTGCTGAATGTTGATGAAGGCTGTTTCGATAGAGTATCACCAGCTGAGATTGGTAGAGACAGACAGCTTCTCTCAAGTACGTAAGGATACAAAGTTGGAAAGCACGTACAGACATTATCTGCCTGGAAACATTAGGAATATGACACTAGATTTGGGGACAAGCTTTCGAGAACACACCGACAGTTTGTCAAAGTCTGTTTGTAGATCCGAAAATGCGTTGGGGTTGCGACCAGTAGAACCGAACACAACAGTGTCGGTAGTATTATGCTGGATAAGGTAATCGGGAATGGGAAAGCAGCTGACACAAAAGGAAGTGAGGAAGAAAGATACCGAAAATCCTTGCATACGCATCGGCGTCAGCAGGGCAGGGGAGCGGATGATCGACCAGCAAAGCTTACAGGGTATATGAAGCTTTTCGATCAACCTAAGCAGATCGGGTTCATTTCCACCTTCGACAAACAACTGCAACAATATACCCCAGTCAATGTTGCCGGACGTATTTGTACATTTGGAAAACTAGTCTTACAACACTGTCATTGTTGTTAGGTGAAAAGTCAACCAAGTGAAACAGATGTGCAACTGCATATGTCGTAGAACGCAAATTTCGATATGCATACACCAAGCAAATTGGCTTTCACTTTATCCGGGAATATACTTTCGAATGTGTTTAGGGGATAAATTCAGACTATGAGTAGGAACCTGATAGATCCACTTTAAAGTACCAATGTTAATTCTGCCGGAGTTTCCACAAATCGGAACTTTTCGCAGCGGAAGTACCGGTGTAACAGAGCGCTCACTGGAGACATCAACGAAATCCTGGAGTAGCATGCGTGAGAGAGGTTTGGTACCATTTGCTTTTTCACGTTTACGCTTCCTGCACACCACTTACTATACTGACCATACCTACGCTCGCAACAGCATCACATGTAGGGACTAGGTTTGCAGCATAAACAAATCCGACACTAGGTTTGCTACAGTCGGTGGTTTCAAAAGAAATGTTGGAAATGGTACCAAATATCAGCTCCAGAATATCGCACACTTCCCTGTAGTGCTTATAAGCACGTTTGAAAGCAAGTTTTATTCAGGCACCCATTAACCTCTGTGTACCGATTTTGTAAACCTTCTGATTCCCAGGATGCACTTGAAAGACCAAGATGAAAATCTACCGAAGCAAGGATTAAAATAACCGGTCGAATGCTCATGATCGCCCAAGACGGAAGTCAGTGACAAATACCACATCCCTTTGTTGGTCGATGTTTTTGAGTGAACACTTGATCTGTTTAGGCATCCGAGAACCTTACCTTACAAAACATCCATGATTATACTTGTGCTATGCCTTGGGAGACAGAGGAGAGACGTATTGGTCAGATGAACTGACTGGAGCACGCCTGCGCACAGAAAATGTGGTGCTCATGTTTACAAAATCCTACTGAATACCAACTCTTCCTGAATGCTCACAAAGCCAAAAAGACCAACAGGCACAAAGGAGAATCAACCAAACTCATTAAGATAACAAATAAGAAGACAAACAGTGGCTAGGGTGTATACAAAGTGAGGTGATTCCTTAGTAGTAAGAGGAGATGAAATGTAGAGACCAGTTAAGAGAGGGGAATGATCACTCAGACACCGGGCTTTACATCCCAAAATCAAGTGATTCATTAGTCTTGAGGAGAAGCATACAGCAAACGTGATGAACAAGGCCATCTCTCTTCTATCATTCCTGTTGCAGTAACTAGCAAGACGGCCCATTTTTCAGCCAAGTGATTCCGTTGTCTACGTCACCATACACTTAGTTTTCTCGTAAAGCTCTAGTGTTTCGATGTTCTCCATGCCGGGGTAGTCCAGAAAAGTTGTCCATCTGTATTAGTAAGGGGCGGTCATAAGTGGAGCCTACAACATGCCGTCACTTTTCGACTGAGAGTACACTGCCTTCTTTTACATTGACAGTACTTACAACGGTCTCCCCAGTAGTAAATGAGTTTTATACCAAAAACGAGTTGGAAACATATAATGGTCTGGGGAAACTGCAACTGTAGGCTTGCGCCATGAGACTGGAAACTATTATTAATACATTTCTAAGAGACTGAATCCGTTGAAATTTTGTGAAATATGGTTCCGAGGTGAAGGTCAGACCAGTTTCAGAGGTCCCATCAAAGACCTATCAATTTAAAAACGTGCGAACGTCTGCGCTATGAGTCCTGGAGTACAGTCAGCTTCCTCTTCAGACGATAGCATCCGTGTCTGTGCGAGAATACTAAGTGAACTTTGACCCCTGATCCAAACCTGAGCGGCTGCGGTTCACAGGCTATGATCTGACGAGATCTGACAATAAACCAAACTTATCGTCCCATGAGCAGTCAGGTTTCAATGGCGAACAGTAGAACTTCACAGGTATACCCTTAAACGATCCCGACTCAGTAAGTCATGAAACGGTGTGGTGGGACGGGAACAATTTCCGGAATAGCACGAGACAATAAAAGACCCGCTCCACAATATATTCCTCTATTCGGAGACCAAAAGCAATGAAATGCAAACATACGTTGAAAATGGGGTTGTCATTCCGGAAAAAGTGCCAGGACTGCGTAAACACCACCAGACTTCCTATCTCGAGTAATGATTTATGATGCCATACTGCAAAGTTTAATCCATGGATGGAGGATTAATAAACTGCTCTTGCTACCATGTTTAGTTCATAAATAAGCCCATGCTGTAACAGCATGAGAGAATTTACATCCCTTCAAGTGTTCTCACATCATGCCCATCACAGCATTCTCCATGGTACTGTACTAACAACATCCATCAGTTTTGCCTATCGAGAGTGGAATACACAATGGAGCACATAGATGACTGCCGACTAATTGATTCAATGACTGGATTGCTTAAATGATTGACTAATCGACTGATCGATCGATTGGTGGACTAACTCGACGGTGGGCAGCAGGCTGTGTGTTTGGGCAACACAGTGGGCAACACGGTAAATTCTACCATCGTTTTATTTTTATGCTAATCTGAACCTATCTTGACAATACTGGAATCTGTCTGTTCCTGTAAGTCCCCATGAGAGACTGCAAACATGCGGTATCATGTTCCATGGGTACCAGCCTGAAGCATTTTGAGTTTAAGTCTACGGAGATCCTTTGGTCAAATTAGGTCAATGAATCGGACAGAAGTACCAGAGTTTGAAAGAAGTACAGCGTTAATTCGCAAGGCCACCAGGGTGTATCCATAAGCGCTCGGTCGCTCAGTAAGTCAGAACAGCGAGACAGAATCTAATCGATCCAAAAAGAACCCAGTATAATGTAGGCCGAAAAATTCCGTGGCCTCATGTCTGCAATACGTACGCGAAAAGCGATATTCCCGCTCAAAGACAAGAAGATAAGAAACGCTAATTAGCGCATGGAGCGCTTGTGTCACATAGCAAGCCTTTTTTTGTTCTACTGTGAAGAAACCCAGTCTGGTGAATCAAAGACTGAATGGTGCATTTCACTCCGTGTGCGCAGTTTCACTTATTTTTTTTGAAGACCAGCCGTAAGATTTCAGAATTTCGGCCGTTATAATTGGGATACTGGTTGCTACATTCGATCATGATAACAGGTCAGAACTCCATGTAAACAACTGCGAGCGGCTACTGATTTCGCTCGTACACAAAGTCTCACAAGAATTACTGACTACCACGTTGTTGGTCATAAATTTCAAGCAACAGAGACTCGGAATATCCTTTAAACCGACTTGGCCTTCTCCGCGATAAACGCACCGAGCCTCAAGGAAAACTGTTGTCACAGTACCTAGCCCACCAACGTGCATAGAACTGGATAACTCGATCTGCGGTGTCGAGTTCAGAGGACTCTCAATATCCTCCATAGAAAGTGTTCATTGAAAGGAAATCCTGACCGATGCCATCTCGGACGATGTTGACACTCTAAACGCAAAACACTTGATTCTTCAACAAAATTATTTCTGTACAGAGAAGTGGCCAGTTTAAAAGATTGTGTGCCAGCGGCAACAACTGCACTCAGTGCAATAGTGCGACGTTTAAATGTAGGCGGAAGGGATGTGCTGGCCAATTCGCACCCAAAAGTTTTGGAGAAAAACACGATTGGTCAAGAATGAAATGTGAATTCCACGTTGCACCTGTTCTTCGAATCTTTCGCCACTCATAAACTTTTGCAACGTTTTAAGGTACAGGTGACAGCACTCTTCCCACACAACTGAAAAAAGCGTTGTTCGGTTGCTAGGGCAGACAGGTAACGCTAAAAGCAAATACAATCCATAAAATGTTAAAGGTCACAAAAAGTAAACAAGATGACGGGAGCAAAGCATTAGGATGAAAAGTTGAACTCACTTTTGCATCCAGGAGTAAATTGTCTGGCTTGATATCTCGATGAATGAATCCCATTTTGTGGATAGAATCGATTGCTAATGCTGCTTCGGCGATATAGAACTGAGTTTGAGACTCAGTGAGTGTGTCGTTCCTCATCAACAAGGTCATCATGTCCCCTGTAAGACAAAGTAAATAGGCGACTGCTTGAAAGGTGAAAATACTGTAAGAACAAGACATGCATATGTTTATGTGTAGATGTATACAGTTCAGACAAAAAAGTGAACACATTTCACCAAATCACCACAACATCGGAGGTGACAAATCGGAATTTAGTTATCCCAAAATGAAGAGGCCACTCACGAAGACCGCTTTTGGTCTGTACCTCTTCCATGGAGGACAACCACAGGCGTAAAATGATAGGCCATCCGACGAGAAGTATGATCGTGGGGAGCAGAATTCTGAAGTGGACAACTAGTAGCCTCGGTGTTTATCATTGCGGCAAAAAAAGCTATCGGGTCACATAAACTCCACCTATTACACCACGTATGCAGAGCGAAAATAATGAATTTAATCTTCGAACAAGGGGTCACTTTTAGCGCTTTCATTTAATTCCCGGTAGGTTACGCATAACAGAAGGCTGAGGGTAGGCGTGAGCTACGTTTGGTTAAACCTGTCAAGTTCGCTGGACTCAGGTTTTAGCCAATAATCTGAAGTTGTGGTACAATGATCACAATTTTTTCAGGCAAGTGGTGTTTACAAACGCACCAAAAACGCACCCAGATGAGAACTACAATCACTGAAAGGATATCCGCTGTGGCTACGTATGATACTGACATCAAAGAGGTTTCGGGAACCTAATGAGTAATTTCTTTCAAGGAGACACAATGCGATTATCGTACCAACTGAAACATGGGGTGGCATTTGTGCAAGATACTCAGTTGAGAAATATCACCTGGGATTCAGTTGTCTCCGGTGGAATCTAATATAGTGTGTACGTGGGTGTATTTGGCGAAGTTGTTAAGTGCTTTTTACTCAAAATCACCAAATGACACTTGGCCTTTGAACGGACTACTCCCCAAGTCACCACAAAGACGTTACTGTAACCTTATCCACTGGAAAGTCTGCTTCCATGAAGCCATGCAAGTAACAGGCTGAGCCATCTCGACAGTTTAGATGCAACCTGTTTTGAGTGCGCTTGTATGGATGTAGCCGTATCTGACATAGCCATTACCACTGGTTTGCTGCATTCAACTACGGGACCTACTTTATTCTCGAGTGGTAAATGAAAGCAGCTGCTGAACCCAACTGACACTAATATTGATATCTCGAACGCCCTTATCCGTCGAAGCACCCGTTGTTCTGTTAGATTCATTCCTCTACTTTGTTCTCTCCGCCTTCCGAAGCACCTTTCTCCCGAATTTTGGGGTTCTTTGGAAAGTAACATCCCGCTAAATTGCCAAGTAAGTTATTAACAACCGATTCAATCTACTCAGGGTGGTCTAAAACTATATACAGCTGATTCCCACCGTACGTTAATATTTCGCGGTGTCTAAACTCCGATAGTAAAGAACCATGTTCTAATTGTTAATCAATTGTTGGTCGGCTAATCTGAAGGCCATATATTGTCAGCGAATACTACTCAAGATTGACATCACAACAGACACGGCGGTGAAACTGGTAACTTATATGCACGAGATGGCTCAATGGTTAGAGCGCGAATTTACTGATCGGAAGGTCCGTGGTTCAAACCCGATCTCTGCCTCTCGATTTTCCTGTCTACGCCCGGGCAACTTGGTAGTCTCTCAGCCCTCAAGTTTCCTTCTGGTGGCATGGCAGTTAGGCATCGAAAGGGTGTTACAACTGAAGATTTTTATATGCACAACACCCACGCGGAGATAGTACGTCCCCAATAAAATTTTGGCTCGTTTTTGATCAAAACGCCGCTTCGCACACTAGTTGTATGTTCGATCATATATCCACACGTGTGTTGAATAGGCAGCGAAGGGTGTTACAACTGAAGATTTTTATATGCACAACACCCACGCGGAGATAGTACGTCCCCAATAAAATTTTGGCTCGTTTTTGATCAAAACGCCGCTTCGCACACTAGTTGTATGTTCGATCATATATCCACACGTGTGTTGAAGCAATCTTAGTAGTCCATATGTTAACAGTAACCATCCTGGATCCAGTCAATTCGTAAGTTTGAGAAGAAATATATCGGAAAATACAGAATAGCCGTAACGCTAATGCGTCTCACTGAAAACGAACCAGTATACAGAAAGGTTGCCTAAATTTCACATCGGGAAGAACAAAAAAAGTTACGCAAAAAGCAGCACGTAAGTAAAAAGTGTTGGAAGGAGAAAAAAATACTATACCGATCATCCCAATAGCGCTAATGAAAATAGTTCCCAAGGCGTAATTAAAACAAATCGCGTAATTCGACGATACCAAAAGGTGTAAGGAAACATCACTTAGAGATTAATTGGTGTCCAAATCTGGTTCATCCAACGTGTGGTGTGGTTAGAGAAACTACCCCGACTGCTAGTCGGCAGTTCCCAGCTATCGGTGGGTATCCAAGCAAATGCAAGTACACAGAATAGGGACAGTGCAAAGATGTCACCGATTCAGGAAACCAAGGACATATCTATAAACTATACAACTAGGAGATCCGAAAACGAGACTGAACATATCACGTGCATATTCTGTGGGACGTAAATGCGGGCGATATTCTCAGACTTTGGACTATCACCAACGGTCATTAACTAGGGTCATCAAAAGATGCCTACGATACATGATCGCGATGAATTATGACCTGCACCAGGGGCCTCCAAACTCTATAACTTAGGGCAAAATGGAGAAGAAGAAGAATGGACTAGTGCAGTGAAACACCTGTTTGGTGAAAGTCATTGTTGTTCTCGTTGGATTTCTGCTTGTTGAAAGATGATATGGTTGTCCAACCAAAATCCAACAACTGTTCGCATTCATTTTCCTACTGGACTGTCTGAGAAGAATCTGACTGGAGCAAAGACTTAGCAACAGGTGTGAAAATGTCAATCAAGGATGATAAGACCGTCCCATAATGAGAAAGCGCTCGAATCCGGAGCTATTTGCACTCAACCTTCCAAGGTAAATGATATTGTCACCATCGACACAGCTGAAGACTGGTCGATGTGTAAAATGTAACCCTTGCCTTGCACCACGCACATCTTCCACTGCAAACAGATGAAACTGACTGACGTCAGTACCCAATCTACCTCACAACGTCCAGCCAATTGCAAATTAGGTCGGCTTGTGATAAACGTACAAGTCACGTCTTGAACTTAGATTAGTGTCATGGCACAATTATCGCGAATAAGCACGATTTCAACCTCCATTCCAGAGTGCTACGGCATGTCACCAAAAAAATTCCGTTTTTTTACCCTCTGAGTTAAACTTAGGTTGAAAGCACAAGCAAGTTGTGTCACTTTATCCATTATTTTTTTAAAATGGAGGAAGTCCAAAACCAAGCCTCTGGTTCTTCAGTTGGTCAAGCTACCCCATTAAGCTGATTGGTGAATCGAATTATGGCTTTCGGTTGACAGAGGTGGGGTTTAAGGAGAACTAATTCAGCCACCAATTAGGCAAATAATATTTCCTGTAAGTTTAAAACGGCGACAAGACGAACAGAACAACTTTGTGTGGTGATTCTAATAAACTGCCGAGCGCATCTAGCCACAACACATCCCTATTTGAGGTGCATCGCGACTGCAAAGATGATTTAATTTCATTGGTGCGGAAAAACAAATTCTTTGGATAAACTGCAGTCACGTTCGATAGAAAATTAACTAAGTCGGTAATCGTCACCTGGTTATCACGGAACTACCTACTTAGATGACCTCGTTGGCTAACAAAAACAAAAGTGAGCTTATAATCGTTGTTACTTTCTCGTTGACCGTGCGATCACCTTAGAGTGGATTACGCACGTGTGATAATTCGACGGACAATTCTGTAACGGAAGCAACCGGCTGACTAATACATCATGACAGCGATTAGGCTCATTTGCCCTTGAGCTCCGAAAAACTGTTTGGCATCGACAGAAGTATGTATGGCGACACAAACTGGTTATTTCATAAGATTGAGGTGACCGACTAGTGGGTCGAGGGCTACGGACCAGCCGGCTCACAGTTCTTTATGAGCAGTTGTTAACTCTGTCCAGAATGCCTGGAATCGACTAGCGTTCAACCAAAGTCCTGAAACCAATGCCCTACAGTTTGTCAGCACCCAACACGAAGGTTGGTTGCATGTCTTAGAGATGTAACGCACTCATAAATGACAGAGGCCACCGGGTAGTTGTTTCAATCATTCGCCCAGAAGGGTCCTAATTATGGTTGACAATTCACGGGCACAATACTGGTCACAGATTGAATTGTATCGAGTTTCAAGATCGAATCTGTTCCCAATCAAACATTGTGTTCATCGGCATACGGAGTTCCGACATCTTAGAACTTCGGGTGGCCGATAGAGCGAAGAAAAACAGGGTAGTTCAAATGACACATGGTGCGCCATTACAGTTTTATCCACGTAAAAGGGGAGTATCGTCTCTAGCCGAGATATGGTGAGTCATTTGAAACCGAAGCTCAAGTTAGAGTGCGATAAGCTACATCACTTTCACTCTCTTTAAACACTACATCACTTCACTCTCTTTAAACATTCTGCAAAAGTACAGAAAGCGGACAGTGATAAAATCGACAGAACGCTCAAGCAAGGACCATGTTTTTGAGTCTATCGTGGGTTGAAGCAAAGCGGAAACATTCGGCAACAAAGAATGAGTCTGGAAACCTGTGGATTGCCTGCATTATTAAAGAGTCTGGTGTTTGGGCCAGAACATATGTAATAGGAACAAGCAAAAAAGGATGGGAACTCGTTCGTGCTGAAGTAATACTCTGGTCTGCAACACGACTTTGAAATAAATGGACGTGCAATACATCATCTCTTGTATAGCAAATTAACCGGCGGAGCGGCAGTTTACCTTGAACGAAAGGACATCTTATGCCCTCTGAATCTTTCCTGCATATGTAAATGATGATGAACTAAGTACTCTACTCATAGCAAACATCAACTATAGTACAAAAAGACAACCGCAAGTAAGAATTTTTCAATACTCGGAAGCCTGGTGAAATGTACGAACGAAGAC